GATACACAGAAGCCTTCTCTCTCTCACACATGCACACACACAGGGGCAGGCACACACACACGCACACACACACACGCGCACACACACACATTGAGCCCAACTCCGTAGAATATTCCTTTTGAAAGAAAAAGTCCCGAGTACACACTCTAAAATACAGGTTCTTAAAGTCCCTGCAACCAGCGCTGCTCACCTCTGCGGGTCGTCAGAAACACCTTTTGGGGATTCGTGGGCCCTCAGGACCGAGGTCCTTCCTGGTGTCACTGGGTCATGGCCCTGGCCACAGCAGTGCACTGTCTGGCATTCGTCTGTGCCCCCTGGAAGACAGTGGAGGGGGGGGCTTATGCTCGTACCCAACACTCATCACACACGGGGGAGCAGAAACCTTGCCAATAATCTGCTCCCCATCTGAAAGCTTGATTCCCTGACACTCTCACGGAAAGCTTCTCTTAAGTACAAGGGTCTCTGCGCATCGGTCTGAAATGGGCCAGCACTCCAGGGGAAGAGGGCATCTGGCAGCGGAGAGAGTTGGAGAAGCCCCAGCTCCCACGATGGACACCACGACAGGGAGAAGGACTGATGGGGGACTGTGGCCCCTCGGTGCTGCCTTGTCCCTGCTCCCACCTGCACACCACCGCTGCACCACCGTTCCCAGGGCTGGCCTGAAGCCTACCGGGATAAAAGTCTCTTTTTTGACTAGTTGTCAGTTCCCTTAATTCTTCATGTCGACATTCTAATTGAGTAGGGATTTTACAAAAGTTGGTTTTTTTTTCATGTTTTGCCTAGAAAACAAGACCCCTTTTCTGCCTCCCCCCAGAAGTGTTTATGGGTGCACAAGGCCCTAGAGAAGACAGCGGTGCCCTGTGGAGGCATATTTTGTGCAGAAGCTGGTTCCCAGGTGGGGAGGCTGGGAGGGTCCCAGGAGGAAGACCAGTGAGCCTGCCGGTTTCCTGGCAGATTTCTCAGAATCCTGTGATTTCTAGAGCGTTGCTGGGGCCCTGCAGACGAGCAGGTGAGTAAACAGGGTCCAGAGCCCCTGGTGGGCTCAGGCCTGTGCTGTTGGCTCAGCACACTTGTGGGGGGCCTGTGCACCCGCCCCCTTGGACTCCGGGGCACCTTCTGGCATCTCCAGCCCCTTTAGGCTTTTCTCCACCAGACAAAGGCTTTCCCATGAGCTATGCAAACAGGAAGGATCCCTGTGATTACAAGATAAATACAGACCCACCTGCTGAGTTGGTAAACGAGGTCCCTTTCCAAAGCCCTGCAGCAGCCTCTACCCTGTTGTCACCTTCCTGTGGGATCTGAAGACCCACTTCAGAGCCACCACGCCCCAGGCTGGCATTAACACCAGCAGTGGGGACTCCAGGCACTCCAGGCCACAGGGATAACCCAATATGCAGTGACCCCCAGAGAGAAGAAATGTCCCAGTGCCGTCCCACACATTGGCTGCAGCCACAGCCGCCCGGCGCTCCCTGAGTTCCGTTAAAATAAGTAAGATTTCGTGTGTCCATCACATTGCCCCGTTTCAGCACGGGACACACAATGTTCCAGGTGCTGGGAGCCGCTGGGGCAGGCCACCCCAGGAACAGGAAGCTGCGGATACAGAGGTGAGGGTGGCCCGCTGTGCGGCAGACAGGACCACGTCCCAGGAGCTCTCAGGCCAGAAACTCCGGATGTTATCAGTTAGTGGCTTTCTTTACCAAACGGCCACTGAAACTCCACAGGGGGAGCCGCCAAGACCCCAGAAGTCACCCCCAGAAGTCACCTGCCGGTCCGAAAGGCTCCTCCCCACAACTTCCCTGCACCAGGACTGAGCCCCTGGGCGAACCTTCCGGAAGGCGAAGCACCTGATTCAGCCATCCAATCCTCCGTGGTTTTTGCTGAGTTTCATAAACAAAAGCTACCTATTTAGAGGTTTTTTTAAAACACAAATTCCGTATTTGGGATTCAGTGCCCAGTGCACAAGGGCAGCGTGGCCCCCACACGGTCTGTCGGCAGGTCCCTATAATCACAGTGCCAACCAGCTCTGGGACACTGTTCCTCATGGGTAAGGGCCTTTCTGGGCTCTCGGTGCAGATCCGGCTTGGGCTTTTACCGCAGTACTCCATCCCCACCTCTGAACGGACCTAGCTGGGTGCACCTGGCACATTGTTCCCACCTGGAGGTCCCCCCTCTGCCCCCCCACCCGGGGCATGCACGCATTCATTGTCCTCTTTACATGCCCCAGGGCTTCCCCATCAGCACACCAGCATCACAGCTGGGGGCGAATTCGGTAATTACACTGCAGCAAAGGTGAGGGGAGCTGCTGAGATGCTGGTAGATGTGAACTTACCGTCCTTCGAGCTGACCCGGGGAAGGGGCTGCAGCACGAAGAGCAGGGGCAGGGCTCGCAGGAGGGCCCTCCAGCCCGGACCCCCGCAGACCGCTGCCATGGGGCCTCCCGCTCGAACTGGAAAACTGCAGAGGCAGGTGCGGCCACAATGGGCCCCAGAGGCAGGACAGCCCTCCCCTGCCCCAGCAGCAGAGGGCCTGGCCAATCAGGCGCGTGCTGGGTGGGGGATCTGGGGACTCACCCGCCCACTCCCCCAACCCCCCCGCCTCCACCCTCCCCCCACAGAAGCCTCACGGGAGCTGTCGCACCTGGCGTGAGTCCTATCCGGTGTGACCCTGCAGAGTGTAAGTCTGGCCAGGGAGGTGCCCATACAAAGTGGGTGACAGTGACAGCGAGGGGGCGCCCTGCGCTCCCAAGAGGCCGGAACAAGACCCTGGCAAAGCCCTTCTCCAGGTCAGGCTCCTAAAGCTAGGGGCGACTGCCCTGCACACTCACACACTCACTGAATCGGATCGGTAGGCCGCACCTGCCCCTCTAGAATCTCTTCTCCCCGTGGGCTTCCAAAGGAAACTAAGTATCCAGAAGCCAGGATCTGAACACCCTCATAAGTGATCCCAAAGGCCTGGGCACTCTGGCCACTTGGGGGGGCTAAAATCCTGATGGCCTGACCTGGTTGCTAATTGTTCTCCCTCTTTCCTTCCTTCTCCCTTTACTACACCCCCTCCTCCCTCTCTCTCCCTCCTCTTCTTTTTGCTCTCTTCCCTCTCCTATCCCCTCCCTCCCACCTCTTCCTTCTTCTAACACTCCTCCCCTCCCCTCCTCCCTCCCTCCACTTCCCTCCTCTCCCCTTTCCTCTTCTACCCCCTTCCTCCTCCTTCCCCTACCTCCCTTTTTCTTTTCCCTCCCTCCCTCTTCTTCCTACCCCCTTCCCCCTCTCAATCTCTTCTCTCCCCCTTCCCTCCTCTTCCCTTCCCATCCCCTCCCTCCCTCCTCCTACTTCCCCCTTTCCCCTCTACCTCCTCCTTCTCTCCCCCTTCCCTCCCTCCCCGCCATCCCCTTTTCCCTCTCCTTCTCTGCAAAGCCACAGGGACACTGACAGGACACAGGTCATCACAGAAGTCATTATTCAGCACTGAAGATTTCAGTGATCACTGATTTTTCTTACAAAATACATTATGAGCAAGAAGATAACATAACCTATTTTGCATTTATCTTGTTCCAAGACAGTAATTAAGAAAAGCACAAGATGTACTGGGGGAATTTCTTGGGGTCCACAATACACATTGTTACATGTGGGCAGGGTAGGGCTGCTGGTGGCACCTGATCCTGCGTGGGCGCCCCCCCCCCCCTCCACTGATCTCTTTCTTCCTTTGACCTTCTATCTGGAGAAGCTTCTCCCTGAAATCTACACCAATCAAAACTATTGATACAGATAACTGATAAATGATAAAATAGAAATAAGATCATCTTTGGAAACTTTGCTATATCCGACCACCCAGGTCACGTGTGTGCGCGCGCGCACTCCTCGAGGAGGGTTCAGGACACGCCCTCACCCCTGGTCCCTGGTTCCTCTGGGCAGGGGCCCCTCTAAGCTTCTAGAAGCCCCTGCACAGCTCAGCGGGAACCACCAGTGATTCACCAGGTTACTTCAGACGTGTCCACTATGAAGGGAGGTCCCTGTGTTGCTAGGGGCAGATGAACCACCAAACACCCCAAAACCACCCTGAGCAGGACCTCTCGATGGGACAAGCCTCACTCTCCAGCCCCTGCCCCAAGAACTCGGCTGCCAGAGGGTGAAGGTGAGCAGGGGCAAGGCCTCCCACCTCCTTAGAGGTTTGCCCTGAGGGAGAGGAGGAAGGCAAAGGGACAAAAGCAGGAGGGGTCGCCCTGGCCCCAGTCCTGCTGTCACTCTCCCCTCTCCTCCTGCTCTCTGCAGATGGGACACCCCCACACAGCTAGCCAGACCTGGGGTTTCCCTCCCTAAGGAGGACAGAGGGGCTGCGGTTACCCTCTGCCGGGGGCACACGGCTGCGGTCAGGGCATGCTGGGAAGTGATGATCAGAGCCTCCTGCGCACCAATGGGTGGACCCATAAGGACCAGTTTGGGGACCAGTCCGGGGCGGGGGGGGGGGGGGGGGGGGGGGGGGGGGGACTGGTTTCTCAGCCTGCTCCTCAACTCCGAAAGTGCCTGAGGGCTGCACTTCCTTTAACCCCACAGAGGCAGCCTCTCTGAGACGCTACGCCTGGGACAGGGATACAGAACCCATGTCCCCTGTGCCTCCCAGGGTCTCTGATGGAACCGGAGCTCACTCAGTGGGGTTCAGGAGGCGGCCCCATCCCCGTGCTCCCAGGGGTCTTCCCTCTGGTAATTACAGATATGCAAAGCCCCCCCTCACCTCCCCACCCGGCTAGCCTGGGCCCCAGCGGCTGTCACACTCTCCTCACCACAGGTTCGGCTACACCAGCTCCGGCTCCTCCGTAGGCCGGGACGCGGTCATTCTGCAAAGTGCTGCTGCCTCGCTGATGCACGACTCGTGCCGGGACCCTCCTGCGATCTCACACGACAGGTGAGAGGTTACTCTTCTACTCAGGAAGGGACACGCGTGAAAACAAAGAGGAAACGGTCTTTGCCAGTGATTATGGACTGTGTTCAGATAATAAATATTACTCAGGCCCTCCAAAAATAATTTATTTTTTGTTACAAAACTGATTATAAGAGTTTCAGAGGACACCTCAGTTTACAAAGACCGAAATGAAACATTCATAAATAATCAGGGTTAAGCCCTGCTATATATTTTTCCAACCTTTCCCTGTCACTCACTCACACACACATACCCCCACACGTATGTGATTATTCTCGAACTGGAATCCGACCAGACACCCTGAGTGTCTCTGTAATGTTACTTTTACAGCAGAAAATACTGTCACACCATAGATAATTTAACAAACCCCCTAGGAATTCATATTCAGGATTTTTTAGTACAAGATCACAGCAACAGCTTTGATTATAATTTCTGTGAAAATTCCTATAATCAGAAATATTGGGTCAAAGGGCACACAAGCCTTTCAGGGCTTCCCAAACATAGTCAATAATCGAGCGGACCCCAGGGTGTCTGTGGGGTTAATGCCCCCCTCATATCCGGACAGAGACTGCCCGCCTCCTGGCTCAAGGACGATATTGAGAAGCTGAAAAACGCCAGGAGCTGAAACTTTCCTTCCGACCCCACACTGGACTCCAGAGTCAAGGACACGACTGTGTCTCTTCAAACGCAGCTCCGCCCACTGGACGGTGTCCACGGAGAACACGAGAGCCACTCGGTGCCTCCGCTGCCTGGACAGAGCCACGCTTCCCGCCCAGGAAAACGCAGACCGAGTGGGTCCTCTGCCAGGCCCAGGGGCACCTGCGAGGAGGATGACGAGGCACCGGACGAGAGTCACGAGCTGCGGGGTCGAGGATTCTTAAACATCCCTGAGCCCGAGCACCAGGGAAGCCCCACACGGCCGCAGCCAGCAGAGCATGTCCCCGAAGTGCAGGACGTGGGCGAGAGACCTCAGCACTGGGGGTGTCAGTCTGGAAACACGCTGCCTGTTCAAACCGTACGCACGTTCCTCGCGCTCCTCCGCTGAGCCGGCAGAACTCCCCGTGGCGTGCTGCTCAGAAAAGCAGCCCGGTGGGTCCCGAAGCCTGCGGGAGCCATCCTGGGCCAAGGCTCCGAGGCCGAGGCCCGGCCAGCGCGAAGCAGGGAGTGCTTCCAAGAAGCAGGAAGAGCGCCCGCGTCCCGACCCCTAGGGACAGCCTGCGGGGCCACACGCACAGACTCGGGCCATCGCTAAAACCATCACAATCCGGGAGCGCTTAAACCGACGCTGTAGAAACCCGAGGGCAGTTACACGTGGTTGCAGCACATTTTAGAAACTGCACGTGAAGCCGCTTTACCACAGGAGCTATCCCGAACATCCTCTTCCCAGACGCAGGAAGCCACGGGTGGACCCCGACTGCCATGCAGGACTCAGGCTCCGGCCGCGCGGCGGCGCCCCGAGAAGAGGGTTACCGACCCCAAGTCAGATGCGCGGGTCCTAGTCCCACCCCACCCCCAGCCGCGTGGCCCCAGGCAAGCCACGCAATCCACTCTGGCAAATAAAGGATCCATGGTGCAGAACCCCAAGTGTCTGGGCAGCTCTGACATGGACGGGCCCTGCCCGTGACAGCAGACACCCAAGGGCGGGATGCCCGCAGACGCGCGCTCCATGTCCGGGCAGAGACCCGAGGCACGCCGCGCCCGACAGGTTAGAAGATGCGCCATCTTACCACTAACTTATCCTAGGACCTGTATCTTACTTTATTACATGTTAAACATCGTTCAAATAATCAGAAAGAACCAATTTCCTCATCTAGTAACTGACTACGCATTTTCTTTAACAACAACAAAAAAAGTTTTATCAACTATTTTCAGACATTGCTTCATCGAACATCAGGAGTTTCTAAGTTTTACCGCTGGCCGCAGCCAAAGAGAGGAGAGAGGCTTGAAAAGCAAAATGACGAGCTGGCTTTAAAGCGTTACGTGACCAAGTATTAGGCCCCACGTGAACTACCACTGATAATATCAGCATCCAGAGAGGCTCTCAAATGCTGGTTTTCACCCCAGACTCAGAAAAGGCCACAGAAGAGTTTTCCACTTGTGCAGATGTCCCCCTTCCTCCTCTACCCCAGGCCACGGCCTCACTGCTCAGCTGTTGCAGGAGTTAAGACACTGCTCACGACATCCCGTCCACAGGGCAGAGGGAACTCTCCCACCACGGGATGCGATGGGGCAGGCCCTGGCAGATGAGAAAGCAGACCCTGCCGGGCGGAGTCCGGCCCGCCCGTGCAGAGACAACCAGATGTGGTCTCAGCCCTGAACACAGCCCCTGGAGCTCTTCTTTGTCCAAATTCTATGTGCTTTCCAGACAGCCGAGTGCTGCGCATGAAGACAGGATGGTGAGGACCGTCACCGAGGACCCCCATGGGCCTCAGGGAACCTGGAGGACCAGCATCTGAGCCCAGGGACTTGGCCTTCACGGGCACGGACCCCAAGCTCCATGAGCTGCAGCCGGGCACCCCTCGACACCCCCGTTGCCCTGTGTGACCTCTGCGTGCCCCAGTTATCAGGCTCCAAGGAGCAGAGCCAGAGCCGGGCAGCGTCTGGGAGCCCCACCCTACCTGAAGTCTGCATAGATACGTGCTCTTGTTCCCATTTCCCATGTCTTAACGACAAAACAGACACGAGAACAAAACGTCACAAAAAGAAGTATGTTTATCCAGCTGTCTTCCATGAACTCAGTTTTTAGCTAGACTATCATGGTGGGGCAGAGTAACGCGCAGATGCGCGTGGCCGGAGGCGGGCTAGGAGAAGGCCGGGATGAAGTACTGCAGGGACACGTCTTCATGGAGCAAATCAAAATGGACAAGCTTGTTGCTGACAATGTCTGCGGAGAGAGAAAACCTGTCACCGCGAAGACCCTGCCCAGCGAGCCGCTATGTCTTCTCCTGGAGCCTGGCCTCCTTATGCTCCACCCCGCACTGTGGGACCGGCCCACGGGACTGTGGCAAAGAGCCCCTGTTTAGCAAAATCAGGGTCCTTCCAGGAAAATGTGGTTTCCCGCCCGAGAGTGACCTAAGTGTGTGAAGGCCCAGTGCTGCGGCCCACCTCCCCCCAGGGACAGGCTGCGGTGCACGCCAGGGCGCAGGAGGGCTGCACATCGCACCGAGGCCCAGGTTGGGCACCGCACAGGGTGGAGGGCAAACTCCATGGGAGGCCTGCTCGGTTCAACAGCAGTGGGGGCAGGACCAACAGCCGTGGCTGGGGCCCAGGGCCACCAATGCGGGAGCAGTGCAGGGGAGCCGAGGGCAGGTCACTTGTTCTCCAGGCCTCTGAGACCAGCAGCTGAGACCACGTGGAGCCCATTAAGGTGGCCCTGGCCAAGTGCCAGGCTGAAGAGGGACTGGTCCCAGGGCACAGGGGTGGGGAAGGGGCACACACCAGCAGAAATACCCTACAGGAGAGGCGGTGGGTGGAGACAGAGGGCGTGGGGCAGAGTGCCCCGGGGCGGGGGAGGGGGTAGTGCGGGGTAGCGGACTGGACACTTACAAGACGCCACCCCAGAGGCAGAAACTACAGGCAGAAAAGCTGGTTTGAAGGATGAAGGAAAGGGTAGGAGAAATCCACATTTTGTCACAATCTCCTGGTCCATCTCTGCCACTCTTGGGGCCCCCAATGTCCCCTTTCTGAGGGCACCAGCAGCTCAGATGGCCGCCTGGCCCAGAACCAACATGGCCCAAGAGGGCGCACTCAAGGGCAATGCCACCCCACCGCTGGGCTTCTGCTCTGCCCAGGACAGCTACGTTACGCTGGAGCCACCTGCAGGGCTCACCAGGACCACAGCAGCACAGCCAGCAGCCTGTCCGGAGCTCATCAGCACATGAGGGGACCGTCTTAAGCCTGCAAGGACCCCACGCTAAGGCACATCTCCCACAGTCCTCAGACCCAGGAACACGCAACAGGCCAACCCAGGGGCTCTCGGGATGCAGCGTATGGGGATACTGGCACCTGCCCCAGCCACAGGACCCAGCCATTCCAGCGTCTCCGTCCCTAACCTGGGCCCTCTGTCCTCTGCACACCACCTCCTGTGCCCCATCACCCCTCCTAGTGCCTTCCACATGCGCTAACTGCCCTGCCGTGATCTGCTTCGCTGCACGTCTCTCCTTCTGGAGGGCTGTCGTCCTTGGCACAGGCCCCCAGAATTCTCTATTCCTCATCTAGAGCGCTGGCAATGTGCCAGCTGCCAGGTGCACTCCTGGACAGTCCTCAGCTCCGCCCCCAGGGCTCAGCCCGACAGCTCTTCCACAAGAGACGGCGCTCCCTCTCCACTGCCGTGTCATCACAGTGGCAAGGAGACAGAAAAGTCCTTGAAAAGTTTGGGGCGAGTGAGCCCTTCGTCATGTGCAGCCAGTAACTGATGGGAGCCAAGAGGCAGGTGCACAGAGGACGGCAGGGCCGACTCTGACCAAGGTACCACTGTGGAAAACTGGAGGTTGAGAGGAAGCCAGATGCCCAGATACGGGACGACTGCGGGAACAAGAGCAGAGGACCTTCAGCCCAAGCCCAGTTTATGGGGTCAGAGCGTCCTCGCGTCAGCTCAGACCAACACGGCAAGACGGGACGATCAGCACCCATCCTCCGGAAGCTTCTCCCCAGGACATGAGCAAGCCCACGTGACGGCCAGGTGAGGCGGCCACGGCCCCGTGCCAAGACAGCACAGCTGAATCCAGGAAAACCCGAGCCCCCACCCGCCCTAGAGCACGGGGCCCCCGCGGCCAAGCTGTGTCTACACTTGGGGGCCGCGCACCGCCGCGAGCCGGCCTCTGGTTACGGGATCAGAGACGCGCACGAGGCCCCCCGCGCACTCACTGCACACGGCCCGCGTGGGATTCACTTGCTGCCCAGCGAGGAACTGCAGGAGCTTCCGGATGTCTATGTGCACTTCAGCCATCTGCGCTGGGTCTCGATCCTGGGAGGCGTCCTCCGAGGCTGCAAAGACAGGAACAGCTCGTGATGAGACAGGAAAGCCGGGCTGGCGCGACGACAGTGAAAATCAATGATTTACGGTCCCGCTGGCTGGCGCGGCCCGGAGACGCCACCGAGGTGCACACGCTTCTCTCTCAACACTGCAAATTCCCAGCGAATCTTCCTTTACAGCGACCTGAGGTATGACCCGCTCTCCCCATTTTGGTCCAAGAAAATGGTCCCTATTAGTCCCCGGACACGTAGTGAGGAGCAGACCACACAGAGCTCACGCAAGATCGCCCCTTCCAAAGGGGAATGAAAAGAAAGAAAAGGTCACTTCAACTCTGGGCAAGCATCAGAGACAAGACCCTTATCGTAATTTACTAAAATAAAGAGCACAGTAACACAGTAACACCGACGGCAGGCACTTCACAGGACAGCGAGCAAAGCCTCGGTTGTGCGGACCACACTTGGCTGGAGCGGGACGTGCTTCTCTACAAGGTAAAAGCCTTCCTGGCCGCGCTGACGGGCCTTCCATACGCCACCTGGCACTTGCACATTTTTACTGTAAAGGTGACGGGCCTCTCAGGTGGGAAAGAACATGTGCGGGGGCGCCTGGGTGGCTCAGTCGGTTAAGCCCGACTTCAGCTCTGGTCATGATCTCAGGGTCCTGGGTTCGAGCCCCTGCGTTGTTAGGCTGTGCACTCAGCGGGGAGTCTGCTTCTCCCTCTTCCTCTGCCCCTCCCCCCACTCTATAATATATAAATGAAATCTTGGGGGAAAAAAAAGAACATGGGTGGGATTAATCCAGCTTCCACGTCATCCGCGGAGTTCCCCGGGCCCCTCCTGCTGCCTACTCCAGCACTTAGCACCCACTAAGTGCATGGTCCCTGGCCACGAGCTCTGTGGGCACCACTCAGGTCCCTCCGTTCCCCCATCCAGTCAGTTACCCTGTCCTTCACCACTACCAAACTGGTCCCATGGTCTTTGCTGCTGTGTAAGGAATGGAAAATCCGGTCAGGCGAGGAAGGCTGCCATCTGCTAGTCTAATTTCATAAATGCGAGGGACTAAAGTGGGAGGAAACAAAACCTCGTCTACCTTGTGACGCCATTCCAGGTGAGAAATGGGCACACAAGTCACCAGGGGCCCCCAGGGGACCAGTGGGGCAGGCGCCGCTCCTTAGGCCGGGGAGGCCAACCTTCCCCACTTGGACCTCAGCGGCCTGTTCCCCGCCCAAGTGTGAAACTGAGATCTCTCCCGTGTTCCAGGTAGAGATCTCAGCAAGATGTGACACCTGCAACAATGTATTACACACAGAACGCGAAGCACCGAACACTTACCCAATGGAGGGTTCCCCAGGTCTTTAAAGTGAGTTGTAACACACACTAGTTCTGTTTCTATTTTCAAGTTCAAGTCTCCACTTAGGTTTGCTTCGATAATCTGCAAATTGAGTATTTTATAGTCTTAAAAAAGGAAAGGAAAGCAAAAGGGGGGGGGGACATCAGCTTCTGCCAAACCAGGTGACAAGGTAGCCCCACAGCCCGACCACTCCCGACGGCAGCAAGACCCACCCAGCATCCCCGACTGGGGGGACTTGGAAACCCCCAGAGAAGGGGCCCCTCAGAGTGGAGACCCCACTCCAGCGTGACTGTGTCTTACAGGTCTGGATAAGACCTTAGCTCTACCCACGGTTTCCTTAGCGATCCTCACCCACCACTTCTGAAGACTGACCCAGAGTGCTGGACACCCAACAGGAAGTGCCTCCCCGCGCCCAGAGAGCAGTCAGGCCCAGTGCAGGCGCGCCACCCTGCCCGCTTCCAGTGACACCTGGCACAGGCCGCACGCGCTGCCCAGTGCCGCTGGGAGGGGCCCCAGGTCAGTGTGGCCAAGTACACCCCCTCTGCCACCATGTCACGACAGTCACTACTGCATTAACCAAGAAGCTCACGTGTGCAGGCCTGCAAAGGTGCTGGGCTAAAAGGTGAGGCAGAGCAGGACAGAGCTCCCGCCACCGCCACCGACGAGGCACCTGGACGTGCAGCCAGACTGGGTCCCAGACCCCAGCCCGCACCTCTGGAACCAGAACCCCAGCTGGCCTCACGAGACCCCGGGGCTGGAGCGGGAGGGGGGCCACAGGAAACCTGGTGTGGACTCCTGACTGTCGGCGCAGGTCTCCCTTGCTCCTGCACGGGTCCCCCCCCAGTACTGCCCCACAGGCCACATCCCTCCCTGCAGGAGGTGGGGGAAGGGCAGGGGTCTCAGTGAGGGTGTCCGAGCACCTCCAGGGTGACCCCACTTCTTTCCGCTCTCTTTCCTATGACCCTCAGAGGCAGAATTCTGGTCCCCAAGCCACGCTCCCTGTGCACCTGGCCCCTCCGGAACCTTTCCACCGAGTACTCCAGGCGGTAGCAGCTACGCCATGACATCTCTCCATACACATTCCAGAGGAGAGAAAAACACCCCTGATGACTCTGTCTAGGCCACTTTGCTGAGTCATTTCCACTGGACCACAAGAACAAACAAGCAGAGCCTGGGATTAATTTGCCCTGCCTTTCCCCGCCCCAGGGCTGTTCTGAGCGTCTCCGAGGTGCCGGAGTGGGCCCAGAGGGAGCTCCCAGCCTGACGACTGGATCAACAGGAGAGCGGCCACTGGAGATCACGACGTTCTGGGGCAGCCTTGTCCCAGGCGAAATGGACAGGACACTCAACTCCCAGCCAACTCCCGTGATTCACTCAAGAGATACCGTTAGACGAAATATGGAATGTGCTCTCCAAGACATAAGGACACAAGGCCTGACTGTTGAACACACTCTTAATGGGCCACGGAGATAAATGCGAGGGGTGAGGGCAAACACGAAACTCCCCGTTCCGGGGAGGCAGTGGAGAAGCACCGAGAACGGGGCTTCCGCAGGCGGCCGTGGATCAGTGGCTCCGCACAGGCCGGGTCCCCGGGGCCCCGGACACCGCAGCGGTGAGCATGAAGGCACCCACGCCTCCATCCGGCCGGGCCTCCTCCCAGGGCCCAGGGCCCGAACCGAACAGTCCTGAAAGTCGCGGACTGTTGCTCTCCGAAGAAGTCGTCACTCACAAGGTGATTGCTGAGGTTCCTCATTTTCTCCACGACGCTCTTCATCGTCTTCAAGACCGGAAGATAAACGCTGACCTACAAAACCAACGACACACGTCGGGAGGACTGAAAACCTGTCGTAAAGTTGTCTCAATAAAGCTCCTCTCAAAATATGAAAAGAAAACAACTTTATAACTTTGTTCGCTCCTGCCAGCCTCTGGTTAACGGGGCGACCGCGCCCCCGTGGGCACTCTCCCGGGGCCAGGATGCAGCCCTTCGGCTGAGATGCCGCTGCACGCGCCCAGGGGTGGCACTCAGCACCCCAGGGCCCGTCCTCTGAGGGCCCAGAGCCACGTGCTTGGCCTCCTCCCACCCCGACAGGCGCCGCAAGCCAGGCTGGCCCCAGAGCTCGAATCCTAACGATGCCGGAGATGGCACAGTCGGCACAGGTGCCCTCCGGCAGGAGTCAATGAGGTCTCTCCGGTCTCCCTGCAGCGCGTCTTCCAGAACGTGAGAACGAGAAGCAGGGCACCCTTTGGGGCCCTCGTTCCTCTCAGGGGCTCTGGGACTCCTGCCGGCAGGACTGGAGGAGCCCCCCTCTTGGCTCTTGCCCGTGTTCCGAGCACCACTCCTGTCCCCCAAGTGCTATGTTAGGTTAGTTCATTAAGCACAATGATCCAAGCACTCTGCCCTCCCTGTGCGGAGTGTGGCTTTTCTACTACACGCAGCGCTGTTTCAGGATGTTTTACATCATCAACGAAAGGCAAACACTGCCAGTGTTTTCCTGCAGTGTCCTTTACAAACAACCAGCGTCTCCTCTCAGCCACTAAACAGTTTCTAAATGAGGGATGCCGCGAGCCCATAACTGACGGCAGGGAATTCTCATCACTCCACGCAACACGTCATGAGCAGAAGACGACGGGCATCACTCACGTCGGAGTCCGGGACTGTAGGTTCTTGCAAATCCTTCCACAATTTTCTAGGAATAACCTTAACGGGGATGTCGTGTGTCACAATGCGGCTACTGCTCGACACAGACAACTGTCAAGAGAAAAAGTGGGACATATTGTCAGTGCCGGTGTTAAAAAAGCAAACAGTGCAGCCGAAGGACAATCAGAAACTGATACCAAGCCCAACTGGAATGTTCCGTACGTTCATCGAAGCCCATGCACCAAGTGCTCACGGCGCGCCTGTTCTGCTCGAGTCCCGTAAGGAGCTGGACACGTGGTGAATAAGACACGCCCCCGCTCTCCAGGGGCCCACGTGGTTCGATAAGCAAGAAACCAACACACAGGGGCGTCTGCCTTCAGCTCAGGTCAGGATCTCAGGGTCCTGTTATCGACCTGCTTGGCAAGAAGCCTGCTTCTCCCTCTCCCTCTGCTGCTCCCCGTGCTCGTGCACACACACACTCTCTCTCTCTCTCCCAAATAAATAATCTTTTTAAAAAGGGGGGGGAGGGTCCAGTGTGAGGGCAGGTGGGGAGAAGAGGCACCAGGGTGCAGGTTTCAGGGAGCCAGAAGGGGAGACATTCCAAGCAGGATCCCCAGGGTCCCCAAAGTCTGGGAGCCGGGCAAGAAGGGGACACTCTGGGAACCATTTGGATGGTGGCAGTTGGTGATCTGGCTCCAAGACAGGTGGGGCCAGGCGTGCAGGGCTCTGGCCATCATGGTAGGACATATGAACGCCATCCTGTGAGCCAGGAGAGCCCGTGGGGTGTGTGTCTCGAGGAGAGCCAGGCAACAGAGGCTTCTGGAAGCAGCACGAAAAATGTGTGCATTCTGGGAGAATCAGAGGTCACCGGAAAGTGGCACAGAGGAGGTGGGGAAAACCCTTCCACGGTGGAACTAGACGGAAAGCATGATTCCACGTGGGGATACGCAGATAGGAAAGGACGTGGGAGTGCTCTGGCCCGGGAAAGGGCAGGGCTCTCGCCGAATGCAATGTGAGCACAACAGCACTGAGGTGCAAGAAGGCCTGACTAACAGAAAGCAGGCATTTGTGGGCACATCCTTCCTTTTAATAAAACCAACCGGCCTTCTCCAGGCCGTTGGAAAGCCTACATTTACAGGCACTGGCCTCGCTCCCGGGAAGCGTCTGGAACGCCCGCTCCTGCTCACCAGCTCTATGGAAACGGTGAGGCAGGGGAAGTGTTTGTTCGTCAGCTTGACCTTCAGGGCTCTGGCATTCTGGGCCGTCTTCAAGGCCCGAGACAGATTTTCCGAGGTCAGCTCTAGGTAGATGGCGTTGTTTTCTGTAGAGACACCCTCCATCTGGAATTCACTGAAGAAGTTCTCCTGCAGGAAGGAAGAGAGGGGGCCAGTGCGGCCTCTGGCGACCTCAGGGTGCAGCTCCCGGCCTCGGACTGCGTGCACACCTGCTCCAGCTCACACCACATGCTCACGCCCCCGCTGGCCACTTTGTCGGAGAGGATGAAGTTCAGCTTCTGCGGGCTGATGCGGAGCGCGCATGTCTTGGCCAGCTTGGCTATCATGGCACTGACCCCTGCGGCGGGGCAAAGCCGGAATCAGCAGGAAGCACACGGAGGGTCGGAGCATAACCTGGCTGGGACCACGCTGCAGCCTGAGGACACTGCCCGCTGGGAAGAGAACCTGTCTGTCCCCTCCCCGCGGGAAAGCACTCTGACACCCTGAGGCTGCGCCAGCCGCCTCACAGCCCCGCCAGGTGTGGCGGGATGAGGACAGCCAGCTGGGGGGCCCCCCACTCATCCTGCACCGAGGCCCGCAGGGGGCTGCAGCCCCGAGGCCAGTGCAAGGCTCGGCACCCACAGGGCGCAGGGACCCTGCGGCCCCGCTTCCAAGGCAGGTGTGCGCTGGCAGAAGCCACCTGGCCCCAGTCAAGTCGGGGAAATCAGCCTGGGTACCTCGGCACCAGCTCTCCCGCCTGCCAGTGCCCACGCCTGACCACCCCTGCCACCCCGGCGAGGCCCCGTGCACCTCCGCGCCCCATCCTGAGCCGCAGCAACGCCCTCTGGCCCCACACCCCATCCCCACCCCCGCGCCCCCTGACCCTCCCGGGCCCCATTTCCGGCGCCCCATGCCCCGCGTCCCCCGACCCATCCGCGCTCCCACGCCCTGCGCCCCCCGACCCTCCCGCGCCCCCATCCTCCATCCTCGCCCCGCGGGCGGCCGCACACGCCCCCACGGGGTCCCGGCCGCGCGCGCTGCTGCTTCCGGTCCGCCAGCCCCTCTCTGGCCCCCGCGGCCGGCGCGGGCCCCGCTCACGCGTGAAGTGGTTCAGACACGCCGCGTCCACGATCTTGGCCCGAAACTTCATGGCGGGACGCGGGCCCGCGCACGGCGTCGGTGGCGGTGACTCGGGTCCCCTCCTCAGCTTCCCGCCGGAAACGCCGCCGCGCGCGCATTGGTTCCGCCTCCAGGCCCGCCCCGGGGGAGGCGGGGCCCCACGATCACGCCCCCGGGGAGGCGGGGACCCATGGCCACGACCCCGTAGAGGCGGGACCTGGGGCGAGGTGTCCGGGAGAGGGCTTCCCGGGTCACCCTCCACGCGGGTCACCGGAGAGGCGGGTCCGGGTCACAGTCGGGGTCGCACCCCGGGGAAGGCGAGGTCATGGGCCACGTCCTCGGATGCGGTTGGGCTCCAGGTCGCATCCCGAAGGGTCGTGGCCGGGGTCGTGACCGCGGGAGGGGGCGCACGCGGGTCTCGTTCCGGTTCTCTCTGTGGGGACGTGGGGTCTCCGGTCCGCTAAGGGCGCGCTGGCGTCGGACGTGCCCGGGGGCGGCCTCTGCTCGTGGTGACGTGCGGGCCGCGGCCCCCGGGAGCCGGCGCTGCCTCCGCGGGTTCGCGGTCGGGGAGAGCTCGGGGCCGCCGCCCTCGGCCGCCGGGACGCGCCCCGCGGGACCCGCAGCTGCTCCCCGGGACCGAGCGACGCGGTCTCCGAGCGCACCCCTCGGGCCGCGGGCGCTCCGGACCCTCCCGCTCGGACGGCCGCCCCGGGGCTCGCATCCGACCCCGGAGCTGGGGCCGTCGGCGTCCGAGTGAAAGCCGGCTGCGCACCGACAGACGTGGGGACCGCGGGCGGCGCAGGAGCCGCTTTGTGGGGGGCCGGGAGGGTCGGTCCGAGCGACCCTGCGCGGAGAGAGCGGGGCGGGGGCGAGGGTCCTGGATGCCCCGGTGCGAGCAGCTGCGGGTCTGTGCGGGGGACGCAGCCCGCAGCCCCCCTCCCGGCCCGGGCCTGCAGGTGTCCCCGCGGACGGCTCTGCGCCCCGGGTCAGTCCCCGAGGGTCCCCCTGGAGCCGAGGACCGCGTCCCTGCGCCTCCCCGCCCCCGCCCCCCGCCTCACTGAGACGCTCCCCTTACTCCCCGTCCTGGAAGCCTAAGGGGTCACTGGGCGAGCTCGTCTCCAGACGGACTCCGCCGATCCGAGTGAAATTCTGACGGCGTCGGTGATGTACACGACGTCGCAGAATTTCAAAGAACAAAACAGGAAATGGAGCATCCGCTGAATCCAGCTCAAAGACAAGATCGTCCATGCTGGGAATGTGTGATTTGGGGGCACCGGGGTGGCTCCGCCGGCGGCTCTTGATGGAGGGTCGTCAGTACGAGCCCCACGTTGGGCATGGAGCCTACTTAAAAAAAATTGTAAAATAAAAAGTGTTCATTTTAATGTGCCTCGCAAATAAGGACCCACAAACTTGCTTTTAACTTGACAGGTAGAATCAAGATGTGAAAACGAATACAAAGTATTCGAAAGGCGTAAAATACAAAAATTACAAAAAATTCTCCCTATTTTAAGACTATAAGGTGAAACTTAATTGCAGTCTACATTGTAATATAGAAGTGTTTACCAAACCAAATGTGATTTAATGTCACCTTTCATTTTTTTGTGAACAAAACATGCTTTCTTTATGATGACATAAATTAAGTTTTTTAAGATTTTATTGATTTGCAAGAGAGAGAGAGAGAGAGAGAGCAGGAAGGGGGGGAGGGTCAGAGGGAGAAGCAGACTCCCCACCAAGCCTGATGGGGGACTTGATTCCCGGACTCCAGGATCTGACCCGAGCTGAAGGCAGTCACCCAACCAGCTGAGCCACCTAGATGCTCCAGCATAAATTAATTTTAAAATAGATAAGTTATTACATGAGGCGGTTGCTGTGGAGATCACATAAATATAAAGAATGTCTCTAAATAAACTTTGTAAACAATGTTTCACAGAATATTGAACTTCGTTTTTATTTTTTTATTTTTTTATTTTTTTATTTTTTTTTAAAGATTTTTTTATTTATTCATTTGACGGAGATCACAAGTAGGTAGAGAAACAGGCAGAGAGAGAGGAGGAAGCAGGCTCCCCGCTGAGCAGAGAGCCCGATGCGGGGCTCGATCCCAGGACCCTGGGATCATGACCTGAGCCGAAGGCAGAGGCTTTAACCCACTGAGCCACCCAGGCGCCCCTCGTTCTTATTTTTTTAAAGATTTTATTTTTAAGCAACCTCTACACCCAATGTGAGGCTCAAACTCACGACTCCCAAGACCAAGAATTACCTGCTCCAGCGACTAAGCCACCCAGGCACCCCTGATCTTCACTTTATGTGACTTAATTTTATGCGATAAAAAATAACTTTTTAAACTTGCTAAGAAGACTTCCATGATAATGCATTCTGTGTAGACAAAGGCCCAAATAATATTGAGAATTTTGACCCAACAGTTATAAAATGAAGCTGTAATGATCTTTTCCTGAAAGAGAAAAGGGATCTTATGTATGAAGTCTTGCAGTTTACTTAAACTAAATTAAATAGGTTTAGCAACTTAATAATTTCAGTTCTGATAATTAAATATACTGCACTACTTCCCTACGTTCTTTTCCCAAATGATTGTGCAGTAAGGAAGGAGATCACCAGAGATCTCTAGAAACCTGTGTGTGCCACTGAGTTTTCTTTTCTTTTCTTTCCTTTTCTTTTCTTTTTTTCCTTCCTTTCTTTCTTTCTTTCTTTCTTTCTTTCTTTCTTTCTTTCTTTTGAGATTTTATTTATTTATTTGCCAAAGAGAGACACAGCGAGAGAAGGAAGACAAGCAGGGGGAGTGGGAGAGGGAGAAGCAGACTTCCTGCTGAGCAGGGAGCCTGATGCAGGGCTTGAGTCCAGGACCCTAGAATCATGACCTGAGCCGAAGGCAGACACGTAATGACGGAGCCACCCAGGCACCCCAAGTTTTCTAACAGCATGTACATTCATGTTGCTGTCAGTCTGGCTGGTAAACCGCCTTCCAATGTAAACACAGCCACACCTCAGGATTAGGAAATGAGACGCGGGATGATCTAGGGACCGGTGTTGGTGGTGTTTATTATCTCTGTGTCCTGTGCGAGGAAATGCCCTAATTTTGTCCTCAAATGAAAATACAACCAGAGGGTAGCGGATGAAAGTGTTTGCTGGCTGTTGCCCAGGGTGGGTCAGGTGCCCGCTCATCTCCTCTAGCCACTGGGGGAGGACTGACTGCAATCCCAGTGCTACCACTTAGTGTCGGAAATCTCACCCCAGGGGAAAGAGACCGGCATGGCTCAGAGCTTCTGCATCGGATTTGACAGACAGTACTTATCTTTCTTTTTTCTTTTACATGAAAACACATAAAATGAAGGAAAGCGTACTGTAGAGGCGGCGTGAGGGCACGTCTTTTGAGAATTGTCCCGGCTTTAAGGCATGGTTTTTGCTTAAACGGCTTTTCAGAGACTTCTCATCTTTTAGATGCTGAAGGAAAAATACTTCCATAAATTTCATAAACATTTTTAGAATTAACGTTCATGGAGCCCGTGGCAACTGTCAGGCACAGTGCTCAGGGTTGGGGTTCTATTTTTTTTTTTTTAAGATTTTATTTTATTTATTTATTTGACAGAGAGACAGAGAGAGAGAGCACAAGCAAGGGAAGCAGCCAAGGCAGAGGGAGAAGCAGACTTCCTACTGAGCAGGGAGCCTGATACGGGGCTCGATCCCAGGACCCTGAGATCATGACCTGAGCCGAAGGCAGATGCTTCACCGACTGAGCCCCCCAGGCGCCCCAGGGTTGGCATTCTGAAGAAGGGGACCCCCACCTCCCAGGACAAGGGAGACCAGCATTTGTCGGCTCTCTCCTGTCTTTCAGGCATGGGCACTGTTGAAATACGATCCCAGCAGGCTGAGTTAGAGACCCATCACTTACGCATCACCTTGATGACAAACCCCAGAAGCCAGTTGCTGATTCCCCCAGTTGAAAGGTGGGGAACTGCGGAGAAGAGCAACGGGAGCCATGGCATCAGGGTAGGTGGGTAGGTGGGTTGGCTTCCTGGCCGGTTTCCCCAGGCTGGTTGCCGCAGATCGTGGGTCAGAGTTCTGCCCCGCGTGTGTGCTCCGGCCATCGTCTCTGTGTGTATCCAGCCTCTCATTACATTGCCAGCACCAACGAACATAGGGGGTTCTGCCATCCTGAAGTCTTCCTACTAGGAAGGAACTGGGACCAGGATCCCCAGAAATGAGAACAGGCAGGAAATGGGCAGTGTCTTGGTCACTGACGGATGTGTAAGGAATTCTCCCCAAACTGGTGGCTTCGACAACAAGGGTCTGTGGTGTCTTCATGAGTCTGGCTTCTTCCACTTGTACCTGCACGTCCTGATGAGGCCGCATTCAGCTGGGGGCTGGTCTAGGGGGTCTCCCCCACACACCTGGCGCTTGGTACTGGGTGTGGCCCCGGGGCACCTCCTTCTGCTCCTTGCGGTCCCCCATCCTCCTGGCAGGGTGATTCTGGACGGTGGTCCAAGGAGCCGGCAGAAGCAGCAGAGTCTCCAGAATTCCTACAACATCCCTTCTGTCTCCTTCCATCAGTCAGTGCAAGTCCAGGGCCAGCCTAGCGACGAGGAGGCCAAGGAACAGACCGCCCCTCTGGTTAGGAGGAGCGGCCAAGTGGAACAGCCAAGGGTCGTGCATACGGGATGCAGAGAGAGGACTCTGTGCCCCTAGAACAGCCCCCGACCCAGCCACGGCCAAAGGTGAGGCTTGAAAGGGGCGGGGGGTACATGTTTCCTGTCCTGATGTTCCAAGATCTCCAGGAAACTCCATAAGAGCTCCCTTCACTCATACTGGGCTTGCCACAGGGCATTTCTCTGACAACCCAAACCACCTGTCCTAGAACGCCACCCAAGGTCACAATCCTTGTTAGCTTTGAAACTGATCAGGACCCTGCATCTCCGCATTCATGCCGCCCCAGACAGTCGTGCTCACCGGCTGAAATAGAGTTCTATCCTCAATTCCCCAACCTGAGGAGGGTCTCGGGGCACCAAGGTATGCTGTGAAGACGGGCGTCATTCCCACCCAGTGAGGGTGCGTGCCCAGGGCTAACTGTTGGCTCACC